AACATAGTTGTGTAATCACTTTATTTTTTTTCGAATTTGTAACAAGGCGAAGTACAAAGGCACAATTAATTATTAGACACAACACCACATATTTTTTCCCGTCGATCTTTCAATCTCTTTGACTTTTTAAATAAAATCAATTATAAAATAATGTATGATTCAAAGTGAAAATGAAATTTCAGACAAACAAAAAGAGAAACGTTAAATTTACAAAATAGGACATGCATATTATGTAGAGAAAAACAACAATACTAAGGCATGATAAAACTTTACCAAAGTCATTATCAAAAAGTTCAATTTTTTCACACTTCTGCAAAAAAAAAAAAAAATTCATCTAACAGAATACAACACTCTCTATTAAACACATCCCTTGACCAAAATAATAAGTAAAAATAAAAATATTTCAATGAATTCTTATCCAAATTAATATTTAACCATCACTTTCTTGAAGCCATGCAAAAGAATCAAAGACTTCCATGTCAAAAACCTACCTTTTGTATGCTAAAATACAACTTTTATGCATGTGGTTCACATATATTGAATACAAAATGTCTAACAACATTGAAAAATGAATTAAATTTGAATTGAATTTTTGATATGAACACTAGTAATTGTTGAAATTTAAATTGCAGTGTTATTTTGACTATTAATATGTAGCATTTCTCGTGATTAACACCAGACTCAATAGACAATGAACCAGAGAAATGGGATCTTCGAACGGATTAAGGCCTTTCGAGTAAGTGTTAACATGAGAAGTAGAGCCAAGTCATGTCAATTTTATAATTCATAACACTTCATTCTTCTGGAAAATAATTTATGGGTTTAAATACGAATCTTATTTCAATTTGAAAAATTCCAGCACATGCTGGATTGTTAATTTTACCTCATAGTATTATGAAATTTTTAGAATGCCTTGGAAAATAATTGATGATTTTAAGGATGATGATTTCTATTATATTTAGATTAAGCTTAAATTACAATTCATGTCAGATGGTCAATTTCACAACTCATATTAAGATGGCTCGTATAAATATATCTCAACCCATTTCAAGAAAACCGGTAACTCGAACAATTTATGAGCTTAACTAATCCCATTTAACCAACCTCTAAATTCAAAATTGCTTATTTTATTACAACTTTATGTGTGAAGGATTGTAATACATTTAAATTATTACTCATAGTGAATTAGACAATATTTAATATGCAACCATCCGACAAAATTTACAGTACAATTTATTATGTATTGTCACAAAATGAAACAACTTATTGGTGAATTAGGACAACAAAATACAAATTACATTAAGTCTTTAGACACAAGATTACTACCTTTTTGGTGAAATTTATGTTTAATTCGAGTAGTTGGGGAAGAAAAAAAAATGTCCCTTTGTCACAAAATTCAAGTAGGGATAATATCAGTTCAGGGCCCTATCCCTCTATCACCTACTCTAGTGGTGCTTTATAGTGCTACTCTATTATGTATCTCACATGCTGTCAACAATGAATTTAGATGACAAATACAGTATAACACAAATAAAATGCGCAGCTGCAATAATACATTTATGGGTGGAAAAATGAAATTATCTCTGTATTGACACAATATCAATAAAGTTTACTATCACCGAGATTTGTGATAAGTACTCGTAGTGCTATATAACATTGCTCTATTATTTTAACATATATAGGTGACAAATAAAGTAAATACAAATAAGATGCAGTCGCAATAATAGATTCAAATGAAATTATCTATCGAGTAGTTGGGGAAGAAAAAAAAAAGTCCCTTTGTCACAAAATTCAAGTAGGTATAATATCAGTTCAGGGCCCTATCCCTCTATCACCTACTCTAGTGGTGCTTTATAGTGCTACTCTATTATGTATCTCACATGCTGTCAACAATGAATTTAGATGACAAATACAGTATAACACAAATAAAATGCGCAGCTGCAATAATACATTTATGGGTGGAAAAATGAAATTATCTCTGTATTGACACAATATCAATAAAGTTTACTATCACCGAGATTTGTGATAAGTACTCGTAGTGCTATATAACATTGCTCTATTATTTTAACATATATAGGTGACAAATAAAGTAAATACAAATAAGATGCAGTCGCAATAATAGATTCAAATGAAATTATCTTATGCTGAGTAGGTTAATTAAGTGTTACATTATAAATTCATTGGACAAATAATTCTATGTTCAAGATTGATTATTATACTTATTAAGAGGAATAATGGAAGGGGCAACGAAATATGTGGATAATCATGAGTAGTAATTTTACATGTGTGGTTTATAAGTTTAATTTTGACTGAATAGTAAAAATAACTTTTAAGTTATTAATAATATTTGTAGAATAAACTGTCATCAAGATTGATGTTAAGCACTCGTCTAAATAGAATTACTCTATTATTTATTTAATAGGTGAAAAAAAAAGGTAAATACAAATAAGATGCAACCGAATCAATAGATTGATACATGGAAATTAAATGAATTTATCTTATGTTGAGTGTGTTTAGTTAAGAATTTTTCTTTTACTTCATTTGACAATGAATCAATAAGATTTATGGTCATCTATACTAATGTTTAAATCCAGTGGTACTATGTAGGACTATTCTATTATTTACCTCATGTAAATAATGAAATTTAGATGACAAAAATAAAGTTAAAAAAAAAAAATCATGTGTGGTAATCAAATGAATTTTCTTATGCTGAGTAGGTTAATTATGGATTTCTTGTTTAAATTTATTGGACAATATCAATAGGGTTCACTAACACCCACATTGGTGTTCAAATACAGAAGTGCTACTTAATATTATTCTATTATTTATCTCATATGTGGTTAATAATAAATTTAATTTACAAATAAAGTAAATAAAGATAAGATGCAATTTCAACAATAGATTCATTTGTAATTATATCAAATTATTGTATGTTTAAGTGGGTTAATCAAGAATTTCTTGTTTTAATTCATTGAAAATAAAATAGTAAGGTCCATTGTTACACAGATTAAAGCCAAGTTAGGGTTGGCAATGGTGTGGGACGGGCTCCCCCTTTCCCCATCTAGCGGGCATTTTCCTGCCCCGTTACTCACTTAAGGCGGAGTGGGGCTGGGTGGATGGGCCGATTGCCCCTTCTATGTATCCATTTATTTATTTTTAAAAGATAAATTATTCGATTATATGGGATAAACTAAAATTTTTATTGTTTATCATATTCTTTAGATAATCTTAGTTGACATATTCTATTAGAATTAATGAAATTTCGTGGAGTATTTTCCTTTAAAGTATTGAATTCTTAAAGAAAAAATTAAATGGGGTGGGCCCCTATTACCCAGACCCGCCCATTCCTGATCCGATTACTAGATTAAGCGGATAATTCTCGTCCCGTTCGGGACAAGGTTCCGCAGGTATCGAGTTTGATGTGTATTTTTACCATCTCTAAACCACGCTCTAATGGTGCTACACAACATCACTCCATTATTTATCTAAGATGTTGATAATGAATTTCATGAAAAATAATTAAATATAAACACGATTGACTATATTTATAGATGAATTTAATGAAAAATAAATTAAATATAAACAAAGATTGACTATATTTATTGATAAAAGAATGGTAAAAAAATAATTAATGTTTATTTAATGTGAATTAAACAAGATTGACTATATTTGATGATAAAACAATGGTAAAAAATAATTAATGTTTATTTAATGTGAATTTTCTCAATTACTAGAAATCATTCTTCACTAAGCAAGTTGTAATTTACGAAAAGTAAGAAACCCTGATCTTTTAACTTGTGCTCCAACGACACCGAGTTCTTTTCTTTCACCTACACTTGAAACTTTTAACCGTGTTTTTGACCAGTTTTGAGGCCTATAAAAACCTTACATTCGACACAAATGTAGGGAGAAGTATAAATACAAATTTTTAACACTTTTAAGGGGGATTTCACACATTGAGATACAGAGACAACTTGAGAATTAGAGAGCAAATTCAAGATGAAAAAAATAATAATTCAAGGGTTTGAAATCAAGATTTGAAATAAGAAGATGAACTTGGTGCAAGATTCATCCACTTCTCTACATCTCAATGCAAAACCCAAAATGTACTATATTATTGCTATTTGTTTTTTTCATCTATCATGAGTAGCTAAACCTTATATTTGGACAAACTATGTAATCTACTTGATATCCTTTATTTCTTTTATTCAAGATTCTTGTTCTTTTATCATACATGTTTTTGATTTTGCTGTAAGTTTAATACATTAAATTACTTGATAACTTATTTTATGATTTTGTGAATCTTTTACGAATTAAGAGATGGGTTTGAGATTTAAACCATCTAGTAAAATTCGATAAATTGGTACAATGTGTAGAAATACCTACTGATTATTACGATCATTTATCAATTTTTAGAGCAAGTATTTCATTTAACTAAAGTTGATTCGCGTAGGGATATGTGATTGAATTAGTTAAATAGGTTCAATGAGAATTCGAGAGGATAAATTGAATACAATAGAAGATTTCGATCGAACATCATATTAGACTTTTGAATCTTGAATTGAGATTTAAAGGTGATCAATAGATGAAATTGTTCTACCATAATATACATTCTATATTTGACTTCTGAATAAATCTTAGTGTGCATTCGTTATTTTTAGGTACTGAGATCAAAATTTACACAAATTGTAATTCTTTCTTTATTTAATCAAATAGGATTTAGAAATATTAGATCATGGATGAAAGTATAGTCCTCGTAAGAGCAATAATCCAAATTCAAAGGTTCATAATATTACTTGTTCGATATCTTACACTTTACAGGATATAAAAATCAAGAACACAATACTATCGATAAAAGACAAGGGTAACATTGTCTTAAAATTACAAAAAATGTATCATTCGTTGACCCTTCTTATAATTCCCATGGCGGCCCCAACGCCAGTGGGCTCGCCAATCTCTCTCTCTCTCTCTCTCTCTCTCTCTCTCTCAGAGTTTGTTATTGGCATTAAAAAGGAGAAGATACAGATACTTACATAACAGACAGAAGATAAAAAGCAAAACAGCAGAAGAAAAAAAAAAAGGCAGCCATGGAGCAAGAACTTTTTCTCTACTGGTTCAAGCTATGTGTATTGTCCATAATAACATCTCTCTTTGTTGTAAAGGTTTTTCTGTTGATTTGGTGGAGACCCAGAAAAACTGAAGAACATTTCTCTTTACAAGGGATCAGAGGTCCCCCTTATCGCCTTTTTGTTGGAAATGCTAAAGAGCTTGTTAGTTTAATGTTGAATGCTTCTTCTCAACCCATGGAGTTTTCTCATAATATACTTCCTAGAGTTCTCCCCTTCTATCACCACTGGAAGAAAATCTATGGTATATTCTCTTTTCCCTTCTTAATCCCATTTAAACATTGTTTGTTCAGTACGAAGGATTCGACAAGAGACTAATAGAAAGTAGTACGTTCTTATCGAAGAAAATTCATCTGGTTGACTTCTTAATCCCACTTAATCATTGTTTTGATATGGGGGATTGGACTACTAATGAAAAAGATACACGAAATCTGATTCATCGTAATATCCAATCATGTTGTCTTCTTTTCCCTTCTTAATCCTGGTTCGCGTTTAATCATTGTTCCCAACTGAGGATTGGACAACATTAGATCATGTCAAATAGAAAAAGAGCCCAAAATTTGATTCATTATACCGTCCAGTCTTGTTTTTCGCATCATAACTTTCCTATTTCCTTCAGTCTTTGATTCAGATTTTTGTGAGAGTCTGAATTTTGGTAATGAAGTTTCATATGTTTGGTAGTGTCTACTTATGAATTGTCTTCTTCCAACCCTCTCTCTCTCTACTGTAGGGTCTACACTATCCAATGCTCTTCTGAATTTTAGTGGTCGTCCTTTTTTATGTTTCATGTGAAAAAACATTTTACATTCAAGGTTTATGGTATAAACCTAGGGGTTACATTACATTGAGCTTTTGCTTGAATTCAGGGGCGACGTTTCTTGTGTGGTTTGGGCCAACAGTCCGTCTCACGGTGGCTGATCCCGACTTGATTCGAGAAATTTTCACTTATAAGTCGGAATTTTACGAGAAGAATGAGGCTAATGCGTTGATTAAACAACTAGAAGGCGATGGACTCCTTAGCCTCAAAGGAGAGAAATGGGCTCACCATAGGAAAATCATCACCCCTACATTCCACATGGAAAATCTTAAAGTCTGTCTGTCTGACTCAATTCGACTAGACAGCACTATAATCAAGATTTTAACTTATTTTTTGATTGATGTATATATATTTTTTCCTCCTTTTCAGTTATTAATACCAATGGCGTCAAGAAGTGTGACTGAAATGTTAGACAAATGGTTTGATATGTCAAAAAACTCGAGTGAAGTCGAAATTGAAGTATCGGAGTGGTTCCGGCTATTAACCGAGGATATCGTCGCTCGGACCGCATTTGGAAGCAGCTATGAAGAAGGAAAAGCCATTTTTAGGTTACAAGCCCAACAAATGGCCCTCGCATCTGAAGCATTTCACAAAGTTTTCATCCCCGGTTATAGGTATCTAATGTCGAGTCGAATATGGTACTGAACCGTTTATAACAATCGATAAAATTTTAACTTCTTATTTTCCGTATTGTCTTTAGGTTCTTACCCTCGAGACGGAATATAAAGTCTTGGAAATTGGAAAAGGAAATTAATAAATCCCTAGTGAGAGTGATTGATCAAAGGACAAAGAACTGGGGGGATGAAATTGTAGAAAGTGGGCCCAAAGATTTGTTGGGACTTATGATTCAAGAAAAAAATTTGAATTCAAGAATTACGGTTAATGACATTGCTGAAGAATGCAAGACCTTTTTCTTTGCTGGTGAACAGACAACATCAAATTTGCTGACGTGGACGACTGTTTTGCTAGCTATGCACCCAGAATGGCAGGCCCTAGCACGTGATGAGGTTCTTAAGGTGGTCGGATCACGTGACTCACCCACCAAAGATGATGTTGTCAAGCTCAAAACTGTAAGCCTCAGTCACATTCATTACTTGCTTGGCCCTTTTCATGACGTTTGTATGTGTGTTGGATAAGAAAATCTTATTCATGATGTCTAATTTTGTGTAGTTGGGGATGATCTTGAATGAGTCCCTTAGACTTTATCCACCTATAGTAGCGACGATCAGACGAGCAAAGTCGGATGTAGAACTCGGAGGATGTAAAATTCCTGGTGGAACAGAGTTACTAATACCTATCCTTGCGGTTCACCATGATCAAGCCATTTGGGGTAATGACGTAAACGATTTCAATCCGGGTCGATTCTCTCAAGGAGTGGCTCGGGCAGCGAAACATCCAGTAGCTTACATTCCCTTTGGCCTTGGAGTCCGACAATGCATTGGTCAAAATTTGGCGATCCTACAAACAAAATTGACGCTTTCAATTATGCTTCAACGATTTTCTTTTTGTTTGTCCCCACGTTATCAACATGCCCCAACTGTGTTGATGCTTCTCTACCCGCAGTACGGGGCACCAATCATATTTCGACCTTTGTCTTGCCACCAAGATTGATATAATCAAGATCAACCCTCGAGGATTCTAGCTCGTGTGTGAGTTTATCTATATATATCTATTTCATGTTAAATTGGACGTTGAATACTCAACTATATTGATCTTGACACGTAATTTCAAAACACCTACAACAAACTACTCTTGAAAATTTTTTACACGTGTCAAACAAGTATTCAAAACCCAAGATAACGTACAATATTGTTACCATTCCAAAATTAAATTAGTTAGTAGAAGTCATTTATTTATTTATTTATTTCATATTCTTTTCTAGTACCATTCCTTCTTCACCTGATAATAGTACTACCTTTACTGACCCCTCTTTTCTCCAAGTTGTTATCTCTGTCTGTATCCAAATTTAGGATTTTTATTTTATTTTTATTTTATTTTATTTTATTTTATTTTTTTTTTTTGTATTGGGTCTACATGAGCTAGTGTCAGCAGATTTCTTAGTGGCTTAGTTGTGTATATTTTTATATATTAATTAATATAACTGCAATCGAAAACAGTTCTGTAATATTGGGCCACTCCAATGTATATTTTACTAATTAAATTTAGCGCATCAGAGGTGAAGATGCTTCAACTTTACTCATTTCATGTAAAAAATTTGTTCCAATTAGGGGTTTATTTTATCTTTCAAGTGTAATTTAAATTAATGTGTCATTTTTTGACTGGTTGTGGTATGTCACTTCAAAATAGTCAAATTTTGTATTTCTTGAGGCTTGTAAGACAATTTCGTTAACAAACTAATTTAAGAAAAGACATAAATCACGATATTGACCTCAAATTATATTAAGAAAATTAAGCATACCATTTTGGAGATTGAATTTAAAAGTAAGTGTCTATAGAAGACAAATTTTCAGACCAAGGACTCATTCTAATTGAGGTGGTTTTGTTGGGGGCGGGGTGGGGCGGGGCGGGGTGGAGTGAGGGTGAGAGTGTGGGTGTCTTTTATCTTTCAAGTGTAAATTGATAAGGATCGTGTTACGGTTTATATGTACATAACTTTCGAGTAGTCAATTTCATGTCCCACATTGACATTGGCAAGGAGATGTGAATTGTGCTATTGATCTTTAATAGATTAAGATTATCGAGTAGTTAAAGTTTACTTGTTGGGTTGATATTAGCGAAGAAATATGAATCATGATATTGAGCTTGGATATATTAAGAATTTTGTAATGATATATCATTTTCGAGTAGTCAAATTTTATGTCTCTCGTTGATATTGACAAAGAGATATGAATCATGATATCGAGTTTGAATATATTAAAAATATAGTAACGGTACGTGACTTTAGACTAGCCAAATTTTGTCTCATGTTGATATTGAAAAAGAGATATGAATCACGATATTGAACTTTATATTAAGAATAATGTAATGGTATTTGACTTTCGAGAAATCAAATTTTATGTCTCAATCTGATATTGGAAAAGAAATGTGAATCATAACATAGTGCTCAATTATATTAAGAATATTATAGCGTGTCCGAAAAATAGACTCATCTTACTTCATTGGCGTGTAATTAATGTATATAGCTATTTTTATTTTTATTTTTTACTAAAAAAGTACACCTGCAAGAATTATCTAATCTTGTCCAAAAAATAAATAAATTAGATTCCTCTTGCCTTCATTAGTTTGCAATTGATGTATATAGCTAATTTTTTTAATTTTTTATTTTTTTCACTAGACAAGTAAACCTGCAAGAAATTAATTATCTAACATTTAACTTAGTCTAAATAATAGACTCCGCTTAACTTCATCAGCGAGCAATTACATTATATAACTAATTTCGACTAAAAAAGTATACTTGCAAGAACCAATATGTGAAGAAATAATTATCAAAGATTGAATTTAAAAGTAATTATCTATTGAATCTTCTTTATACAAGGTCTAACCAAATTAACTCAATTATTTAAAACTCCTATAAATTATTAAATTCACATCAAATGTCAACTTATTTGTGACCAAAAAACAAAAACAAAAAAAAAAACAAAAACAAAAAATTGCATTATCAACAATGATTTCCACTTATCTCCTATTTTAAAAGTCATTTGATGAAAATAAGCAAACAACAAACAAAGGGTAATGCTGTGTAGCATTACTGGAATTGTAACCTCAGTCTAAGTGAAGTTAGATGATAGGCTGAATGAAAGGCGAAATTAAATAAATCATTTACTCTCACGTCATTTTTAAAATGGGGTTGGGGGTAATTAGCATTATTCAAAAAAAAAACAAAATGACCCTTTTTCTGCCACCTAACATAATTAAAGTAAAATTTATATACAAAAAAATAAATAAAAAAATTTACCCCTTTCCAATTCTTGGAAGTTGGAAAACCCTTTATCAAGATTCAAGAAGACTAGACTCCCAAGTGGTGGCGGGTTTCAAGGTTATAAAAAGCTAACACGATTTTGCAGTGCCCGAGACATAATATGTTCTTTAGAAGCAAAGCCAGACGTTACACAGCAAATTCACTTTTTCTTTAATGGATAATCCACTTTTTACGCTTTAGATTATAATCTCTTAAAAAGTAAGATTGAAAGAAACAAACTTGCAGTTTTGTATCACTTTTTAAGATCTTCTCATGCTCTTGGGGTTAGGGGCTTAGGGTCCCCACGAAGCATGTGACTGCTTAGATAAACTTTTTTTATTTTTGGATTTAATCATAAGAATTTTTATTTTTTTTTATTATTATTTTTTTTTGTAAAATTAATTTTGAACTTGAATAAGTTCATATTTTGAGGAAGAAGGGAATCCAATACAAATTTATTTTTATTTTGATAAGTAAAGGAAATAAGTTAAAACTTTGTAGAGTAACTAGATATGGCAAGACAAAATTAAGAGAAAAATGTAAACTCACACCAACTAACTCGGTCTATTTTAATGGATTAAACATTGTAGCGACATTAAATCCATTCACTTTTAAATGGGAAAAATCTCACTTGTAACCATGACTTATCACGATCATGCAAAACAAATACAATATAAGGCAGCGCTATTGTTGCATAGCCAACATCACCCAATGCTTAGCCGAGTTCAAGAAAAAAAGAATGATATGTCTTGATTATATTTGAATAACGATTATGTTATATAAAAATGAATAGACTATGTATCCAATTTCATAAAATGGAGGATACATAAATAAAAACGTGTGAACTACCGAGTTTGTTGCGCAAATTTCCACATTCCCCTTTTTTTTTTTAAATAACGGGGAACCCGAAGCCGCTACCCTTCGGGTGCGTACTGAGTAAACTCTCCGACTGACACAATAACCTGCAAACCATGCCAGTCAGGTAAACTGCGCTAGGTAAATCCTATACAACAGGCTAAATCGAGAAAGTGTTAGTAGGAAAAATCGAACTCGTGATCAAAGGCCTCCGCGCTCACCTACTCCATATTTTGTTCATATACAAGGTTATAGAAAGCCATGGCGAAATATCTTTCTTTAATTCGACAGTTATCATGTTTCAAGTTTTACTTAACTTACTAGAAAATGTGATTGAAAATTGATCTTCATCACTGATAACTTATTTATTATTTGATATAATCTAATACTGTATATCAAAAATGCGCCTCTGAACATTGCCAATGTGTTATCTTGCATTTGTTAAAGGAATCAATCAAGAGGAGGCATGTGATCCCATCCATAATCATGTAACAAACTGTTTGCCATTGACATGCTTCGTAAGTGCAGACACATTTGTTCAACATTAATTACAATATTAGCAACATCTATTTATTCTTCCTCGTGACAATGTTTTATATTCAACTCTATTTCTTACGATAATTCCAGCTACTTCATTAATTATTGCCACCATTATTATCAGTAATTAATTACTTATTTTACGTCTAATCCGTTCAAATGTCTATTTTTAATTATAATTAAAAACTGCATTTTGCCAACCAGGTTGATATCAATCTTTGCCAGATCAAACTCCATGCATCGATCATTTGGTACGTCATTGGAATGTGACTTGCTTCTTCTCTACTAGATCAATATATAAAGCAACTTATTGTTGAATAAGAAAAAATAACTTATTTTTTAGTACAAGATAATTTACTTTGATAGAAAAAAGTGCTAAGGTTGTTTAACCGTCACTATTGTTATAAATACTCATCGCAATAAGGAACATACTTATATTGTATGTTCATATCTTTATCTTTCTAATGTTGAAATTTTTTTTATGACAAATAGTGAATCGATGCATGTTTGATGTTTGATAGATTAATTTATTAAGGTTGTTTAACCATCACAATTATTATAATTTTTTACGTATATTGAAAGTTTATGACAAATATTAAATCATTACAAGTCCATTTTAATATATATATATATATTACATCGTCCTATGTATTGTAGAGTTATTTTAATGATTCTATTCATGAAAGAAATCAAAGCATGATTCATGAACAATCTACCTTAAATACATTTTATGATGATTTTAGTCACTTTGAGCTATGCTTTCCCAAAAAAATAAAAAAATGAACGTCCATACGACACTTGATAATAACTAATAGATGAAATTATTTATAAAACGTGTTTTGATAAAGTTTGATGTACTAATGACAGTTTATCAATGTGTTTAATTATTAAAATGAACGTCCTAATCTTAAACCCTTAATTAATAATTGTATATTAGTATTATTCGAGCACTCTCACCTCTGCATTGTCTTGAGCACCATTAACAATTTAAATATATTTAATTTGGCTAAAAGACAAGCATGACATTCTAAAGCACCCTGCTAACAAGGAATGCTGTCTTTTAATGATTAAATTTTTTTGATATATGTGCAATAATTTAAATGGAAGCACGCAAGTAATGTTTCATCTTGAAGTTAATTAGTTAATTTTTTACATAATTCTTATTTCCACATTTAATTAAATACTATTTGATATACCTATGCATGTGAACATCACACATGACTAGAATTTACTTTATTATTATTCTTTTAATTCTTCTTATTCTCTTTGTAACTTTCATTGTTAAGTTTGATGAGCGATTCAATGTATTGTGGTAAAAATTTAAATAAAGAATTATTACACAAGTATTTATTATATATTCAAAAAAATTATTATTTAAAAATAAAATAGTGAGAGCAAGTTATGACAAATAAACCAATATATACAATAACTTAAGAGATGTGAATAATAAAATAATAAAAAATAAAAATTTCAATTTTTTTGGTGCCTATACATGAAGAAATAGTAGGATGCTGCATTTGCATTAAAGTAATCAAATTTATCAAAATCAAAACTCTAAAGCATGCAAACAAATAGGACTCAATTAAATAGTACATACGAAATATCATTATTTCTGGATTAATTATTTCTTACACATT